TGTAGTCGGGTCCTGAGTCACACTCAGACCCTTGCAAGTACATGATGAACACCTTTCCCTTGTCTCCCTTCACTGGCCCCGAAGCAAAACCCAGGCTCTGAAGCACACATATCAAACAACATGTTTGCACGCTGGCCCATCAATTTTGCTTTTGTAACACAAACTCAAATTGTGACAAAATATCCTTATGTAAGAGAAAAATAGATGTGGGAATGCTTACTATCATTCAAAACAAAATCTTTTCTCTAACCTCCTATCTAAGAATTAAAGATCAGAGTAAACGAAACTATATCACTTTTACTTAATGTTTGAAACTTATATAAAATCATACATACAAACAAAAACTGTTTACACTTTGTTTGTATGCATGATTTTATATATCAATACACTGAACGGTATGCAAGGTTTTAAGTCTGAAACTTAGTCTCTCTCCATGACGGGAGAACATAATTTGAGGGTGAGGATGCTGCAAAATATGAGATGAAAATAATTTCACAGAACCAAATGCAATCAATTCAATAGATATGAACTTAACTATGAAGTGTGAGAGATCACACTTATTTCTTACTACCAAACCACAAAAACTATAAGGCACCATCAGGCAATAAAGTTAACCCTAGACATATTTCTGTATTTTCTTTGTTCTGGTCTACATCACTTCCAGCACAGGACACACTTGAAGCTTTTGGGACTCGTGTATAAACAGGAGTGAGATTAACAGCACCATCCTCTTTATACAATTATACATTGTAATTATTAATCTTGAAGCCAACAATCCTGATAGTAATACTCAGAACTACATACTAAGACAAACAAGAGTGAGCTTACAAGAAACAAAAATTGTTTTAAAAACATTCACTTAGTTCTACCCATGGTTTGTATACAGCATATTAACCAAAAACATATGCAAATCAATTTTTACCCACTTATATAAATGTCAAATTTCACTTGAGATTCAACTAATTTCCATTCTCTGTATGCACTGTACCTTCTCTTCAATTAAGTTGCCGTTGTGAAGACGTGCAACACATGCAGAAGAGCCCCCAGGACAGTTCAGGCCTTGTACTGGCAGCAGGGGGTGGCAAACATTTATGTAAAATACTGTGTCATTCTGAGCCTGTACTTTGTAGTTATGATCCAATCTGATCAGAGGTGTCAGGTTCACCGGCTCAGGGTCACTCCAGGCTGGGGTGGAGCACTCCACCTGCTGACAGACCACAGACATTCACCTGTAAAGACTGAAGAAAACTGTGAAACCTCAGTCAGGAGAGCCAAAGACCTAGTCAGGATTTGAACTTCAATACAAATGAGCTGGTCTTAGACAGGATAGGCGAAGGAAAAAGTCTATGGAAAAATCTTACCAGAAGAAGAGATAGGAAGGTGGGACACATTCTGAGGCGCCCAGGATTGGTTAATTTGGTAATGGAAGGATGGGGGAGACAAAGATTGGAATATGTGACGCAGATTTTTGAGGATGTGGGCTGTAAAAAATATGTGGAAATGACGAGACTGGTGCAAGATAGGCGAAAACGGAGGACCGCATCAAACCAGTCGAAAGAATGATGACAAACAAACAAAAACAAATTTATAACATCTCCAGTACACCAACCTGCTTGGTGAAAAGGAAGGAAGAAAGGTTAGAACAAAATTTTCAGACACAAAACTGAAATACACTTCAAAATTAATGAAGTAAGACTGAAAATTTCATACCAGTCCATTGCACGTGAGGTCAGTGTACCAGTTTATGATGTACGTGCAGCTTTCCACCTTATCTATGAATACGATCCGCTCAGAGCCACTTGGTTCACACACAAAAACAATCTGGGTGCTACGTTTCAGCTTGTCATTACAAGGTGCTCCATCAGTGTACTTTAATGATATGGCACCCTGGCTATTGTGTAGGTGACTGTTTCCCACACCTGCATTCCAGAACTGAGATTGGTCCTGTGCCTTGAACTTGCACACACCTACAACAAATAGATCATTAATCTCTTAACTCCTGATTACAGTATATTCTATTATCAATTAACTATTATACTCACATACCCTTATAACTGTATGATTTATTTTAATATTGTCCTCCATATCATAACTTTGGTCTTCTTTTTGATATCCTTACACAAAATTTTCCAACAACAAACTTTACATGCCGGAACACTTACTTTCTTGCCCGTATGTACTGTTTCCCATTCATCTTGTGGTAACTTATACTAACCTGCATAAGTGCTGTTACAAGTCAACCAATGTACAAAAACACACACTCACCAACACCATTGTTGCCACAGGGGCTGCCCGATAAGTTCCCACAAACAACGAAGGAGTAGTTGTATCCAGCCAAGTCAGCCACCATTCTTACTTTGTTCCTCAGGGGCCGTAAATTAATCCTGCATGGAAAATCAGTGTCACTAAGTTAGTCTATCTAACTAACTAACTAGGTGGCTTAGGAAACATGATGGTTCATCACCGAATTAACCAAAGCCCTCCACCGGACCCTGTCCTGGGCCAACAAAATCCAGTCTCCTTCAACTCCTATCTCCCATAGATCCCGCCTGAGATTATCCTCCCATCTACGTCTAGGTCTCCCCAGCGGTCTCTTCCCCTCAGGCTTCCCAGTGCACACCTCTTGTCCCATCCATGCGCGCTACATGCCCAGCCCATCTCATTCTTCACGACTTAATCACCCTGGCAATATTGGAGGAGTAGTGCAGATTTTTAAGCTCGTCATTATGCAGTTCTCTCCATGGCCCATCATCTTCTCTCCTAGGCCCAAATATCCTCCTCAACACCCTATTCTCAATCTGTGTTCCTCCCTCTGAGTGAGAGACCATGTTTCACACCCATACAAAACAGGCAAAATTATTGTTTTGTATACTTTAACACTAAGCTAGTCTAGGTTGCACAAATTTACTTCACAGAGTAAGAGATATCCCTGTACCTGTTATCTGTGCCAGGGACTACCACAGTGCAGCTGTCATCCTCATGCGGCTGTTCTGTTGTTGCATTCACAGGGCAGGCCGCTTGTGTTCTCCACATAAATTCATACACACAAACATCTCCAATCAGAAGCTCTGGCATGTAATTCTGCAAAATTAAAGTGAAGATATTCTTTTGTCTAACTAACGCATTTAAACAGGTGCATCATACCTTGACTAGGCAACCTTATGGAAGAGAACCCCTATGTGTTCTACAGGATCTCCTGTGTGGTTGTTATTATTTAAGCTCACTGTTTTGTTTTATATTTCAGTACAACCTTCATGAAATAAGTAACCTATGTACACAGATGTCCGGATACTTCATGTCCATTCTTTGAGATCATATTCCTGAGGTAAATTCCATTCAGAAACATCATATGAACATGGGTCCCATTCTCAATGGTTGTGGAGGTACAGGTATTTGAAACATGGCTTCACTTTAACAAGTTATTTATGGAGAAAAAGATTCCACTGAACAAACAGGAAAGGAAATTACACTGTACAGTTTATGTAGTCATTAATCAAACTTTCCTTGAAGCACTTGAGTCCCATGTTCTTGGTGCTCAAGTTGGATCAGCCGTACAGAGCTGTAGTCACCTAATCAAAGTACTGAGGTCAAGTCCGCCCCTTTGCCAGATATTCATTTCGCCTTTCACTGGTGTTCCAAGGCAAGGTTTTTTTATGACTTAGACTGTCCTGTGTCCAGTTTGTAGCACGGACTCCGCTTCTTGAAATTGGCTGGTTTGTTAGTTCATTGGTTCATTAGTAGGTTGGTTATTCAGTCAGTTAGCCAGTGAATGAGTGTATTCATTGGTTACTACAATTAGTTACTTATTATAATAGACAAAACAAATTTACTTAGAAGCAGACAGAATATCTACAACACAGAAAAAGAGAGAAAAGATTTGTCAATGTCCACAAGGAGGAATACCCATGCTTTGGACTAGCAACAACAAACAAAGTATAACCTGTCCTTCAGAGGATGAAGAACGAAGGTAAAATTACTGTGCCACATTAAGGTCCGTGCATACCGTGCTGTGGTCACATTCAAACGTGATGATTGTCGAAATATGGTCCGGACCTTCTGGGTCACGGCAGATCTCCCCTCCATCATACCTCAGTTTTATTCTTCCATCCTCAAAATATGGACCATTCCCCACATCACCAATGTTGCTGAACCTGTAACATAGCAAAGCTCAGTTTTTCAACAGGACAGCAAGAGTGTACAATGGCACGCTGAACAAATTATTGGGCATGCACAATTCATTTTCAAAGAAACAAAATTATTATCAAAATGTTAATTTACGAGTGGATATCTGCAGGAAAGAATAAAATTTACATTCATGTATGTGGAACTACAAAAACATGAAAAAGTGGTAATTTGCTTGGAAACAATCATTTAGCTGCATCTGATAGCAAGGAGCAAAGCCACCTCCTAAGCCGTTTCTTATTGTCATTGTTCCTTTGTGCACATTTCAATCAGACAAGTAGCAACTGTTGTGTTCATTTCAGAATTCTGAAAATGTTCTCTAAAGAAGACAAATATGAGTGACAGGAATGGCAGAAAATTTAAAAAGTGGTGCAAGGAAAAATACTGTGTGACTGACAGAAATGAAAAAAGTGTTATCTGTTGTAAAAGTGAGGTTAATAGATAGTGGTCCATTAAGCAGCAATATGAAACTAACTTACATTGAGTGTCATGCAACAAGTGGAATTTAACAGTTAATACAAAAAAAAAATCTCTTAGCTTTGTTCTCATAAAAAGTTTTAAGTGTCTTGCATCTGTCAAAAATGTGAAGTGCTAGACAGACATCAAAAGTTATGACTATCCCATCCAGCAACATAACAACCAAATCATCATTTTTAACGACCTAAATTACAGATACTATATAATCACCATGCTACGTAAATGTCATGTTTATTCTGTACCACAACACTATGTAGACGCAATGTTCATTTCAAGATTCACTTTCACCTGCATTTGTTAAACTATAATAAACTTTTTTTTGTGAAATTAGATTAAACTGTTAGTAAGACAAATACGGTATTTTGATACTACAGAATGCATGCCAAATTAATTAAAGATATTGCTGCACACATGGTAACATGAAATAAATTTGTTTGCTGTTTGATTCCGGGGAAGATTTTACCTTTACAGATACTTAAAGCATATTCATTACAATGACTTGTTTTCCACGCACTGTGAACTTTCATAACAGACTTCTGCCATATCATAATATACACACACACACACACACACACAAAATCATCAGATGATAAGGTAATTAAACTTGTAAGACTTGAGGTTCTCACAGCGGTGAGTATGAAGACATCCGTCTTCTGGGTTATTGCGCTGTGTAGTCTGGTCGATGTTAACCAACGTTTCAGAGGTC